TTCTGGAATGATTTACCATTCAGAAAGCTAATGGAATGGTCGTCTTTATCAGAAGAGAATTGTGATATCTCTGTAATCTCCTCTAGCTCCTACATCCTTCCATATCTTTGTCACCTCCTCCAGCCCCTTCACCCCTCCCTATCTCTGTAATCTCTTCTGGCCCCTACATCACTCTTATCTCTAAAGCCCCTCCAGCCCCTACATCCCTACCTATCTCTGTCATCTCCTCCTGTCCATACACCCCTCCCCATCTTTGTAATCTCTTCTTGTCCCTATACCCCTCCCTATCTCAGTAACCTCCTTGAGTCACTACACTCCTCCCTATCTCCTTAACCTTGTCCAGCCATTCAAGCAGGCAGTGCTTGTGGGCTCAAGAAACAATTATATGTCCTTCTAGAGAAGAAAGGAAGTAAAGGAAAATTATGAGAATGTTAAAATTCAGCTGCTTTCTCATGTTCTTACAAATTCTTCTATGTTTAAAAACATTCAAATACTTTTCATGCTTTACTGTAAAAAAGTAGTTATATTTGCACATTCTATTTTGTAAAAACTACATGGGAAGTTTTGCTTGCATGACAAGTAGTTTATTTGAAAGCGTATAAGTATAAAACTAAGTTTAATGATGTCACTATGCAAAACATAACAACTGAAATGAAATGCAAAGTAAATGTTTAATAAGCATCACAATTGTAATTAATTGTAAACACCATCGAGCACACTATAAGCCTAATCAAGACTGACAATGAATTTAATTAAAATGACTAAATGAGCAAATCATAAGAAATGATTTGATTCCACTGTGAAACTACTGGCAGTCACTGCTAATTACTATCATTGATGGCTAAAGGCAATCTAAAAGAGATTTTCATTTCCCTTATAGTCAGTACACGACTGCATATCCCACTCAATTTTATTTCCCTTTAGGGTTGGGGTATTGTTACCATGGACAAACTGATCTGATATCACCAACTTGCTGTCATAGTCAAAAGTAAAAATGATTCCTTGGCTCTTTGTGAAACAGGCTGGGTGTTTTGGAAGTAGTATTCTGTACATGATTATGATGTTAATTCACTTGTCACCTACACTGTGGGAGCTGACATGTTAAATTTTGCCCAAAGTCCAAAATGACGTTGCACTTTCAGAAGAGCTTGCCTAGC